GAGAGAGAGAGAGAGAGAGATAGGGAATACGGTCACGATCGCTGACGAGATACGGTATCTTCGGCTAAAAAGGCCGAAAATTTATGCCCTTCCGTGACCTTTGGCTACCCCTCTGGAGAAAAGGGAAGCCTGTCCTGTACGCTTCGGGCAGGTCGCCGCCACCGGAGGAGACACATATCGTTTGCCGCATCCGGTCTCGAGATTCGATTCACGCGAGCCGAGAATCCGCTCTCGTAGCCTCGAATGCGAATTTAATAAAGAGAATAAATCATTTTAATGTAACGCGGCGGCACGTCGCTGCGGAACCAAGGGGTGACGAGGCTAAGGGGGTAGAGAAATTCAACGCGGAGAGTGGGGTAAACGAGAGAGAGAGAGAGAGAGGGGGGGGAGAGAGAGAGAGAGAACAGGAGAAAAAAACCGGTATTTTTGCGTCGAGCACGGAGGGGTGCATTTCGTTGCGATTATAAAAGCCGGGCAACCCCCGGTGTGTCTAGACGACGTGGCCTCCTATCAAAAACAGACCACCGAACTGAAAAGGCTGAAAGGGCAAGGAACTCCTCACAATGCCAAGAAATTAAAGTTTCTCTGTATATCCACCTATATTCGTCCTATGCCTCTTCCTCTCCCTTTTTTGCCAATCCGTCCTCTACTATCCTCCTCGCCCTGCCTGTCCACGTCCACGTCGTACCGGTAAAGGAACGAAAGGCGAAAAATGGATAGGGAGAGAAAGAGAGAGAGAGAGAGAGAGAGATCATTTTGCCGATAAACGCAAACACAGAATGGGGAGCAACGTACGCGCCAGTTAAATAGACTGGGGTCTCTTTCTTCGCGGCAAATGTTTCGCAAGGATTCGCTCGACTCTCCCGTATACCTGTTGGAGTTGCATCGATCTCGTCTACGTTTACGATCGGTCGGTCAATACCTCGCGTGCCCTCTACGAGATGTATCCGACAGTTGGCAGCGCCGCCTGTCGCCTGCGCCGCGTTCCAACGTATCTTCGAGGGCAAAAAAAGCAACGGTCGTTCGCGGTCTACGATTTCCACGAATTCGATCGGCCGACGTTGTTTACCGACCGAGCGACGCGCTCGAACGTGTTTCGTCGGCCGGCCGAAAATCACGGCGCAGGCGCGACGGTATCGCAGCGCGGACGAAAAGAAGGATTCATTGATACCCGAGAAACGTCCGACCCGCTAGCTGTCACAGCCAGTCACCGAATCATTTGCATAATCACGACTGATTACTATCGCTCCCGTCTCTAGTCATCGCCATATGCCTCGGGTTGGAAAAATTCAGCGAACGTATCGTCCGATCGTGTCGCTGCGCGACGGGCGTTGGAATGCCGGGACCATTGTTATCGACGTTCGGGTATAAGTCGAAGCTAATCCGTCGAAAGATGGCGAGCTCGGGGGAAACGGTTTTCGGCGAAACGTGACTCGGACGAGATTGAGCGAAACGAAGCGGGCGACGCACGAAAGTCGTAAAAAATTGTACGTGCGTTAAGTCGATGATCGAGCGAACGGTCGAGTCGGAAGTATGAATCAGGAAGCGGTGTGTCACGTGCTACTGTTGCACGTCATCAAATAGGATACACGAGTCATGAATCGCAAAGGATTACTCACGTGAAAAGAACCTGCGCGAGGTTAAATCGATAAACACAGACGATTTCCTACGATCTAGATGAGTCGTTGCTAAATGCTTCTCGATCGTGAGTCACGATGTAAACGGATAATAGGGAAACGGATGTTATTGGGATTGTTAGTAAGAGCGAGAGGTCGATAAGAAATTGAACGCGTTTCACGAATCGTTGGAATTGTCATCGATAGGAATTCTCGTGTGACGAGATCGATGCGATCTAGATCGGGTCATTGCCTCGAGGATCGAAGGGCACAGGCTCAAATATTTTTCTATCTAGACTTGGTGCTTGGAAATATAAGTAAGCCATGCTGATAAACGACCTCTGGAATGTTTGATAAAGTCGATTAGAACCAACTACGAGTTAGTTAGTAGCAACAGTTGGTGAGAGTGTGCTTGTGTGTGTGTGGGAACGAGTAGGAAAAAGAAAGGAAGGTAGATGCCCCATATACGTAGAGCGCCGACTTTATCGGCCCACAGGGTCCAGTGGATTGCGATAAGGGTTCACGCGTCGTACGCTTCATAAAAAAGAAAAAAAAAAAAAAAAAAAAAAAAAAAAAA